ATTCAAGGGCTATGAGCTTAAATGTTAATTATGTATGGATTAGCCAATCATAGCGGGAGTTTTTTCCAGAAACCAGTTTATAACATCACCAAAGAAAACAAACAGMAAAAGAACAAGAAGAATGATAAGACGAAGAAATGATAACATTAATAATATAATTAAAAAAATGGTCGTTATAAACCGGTTAGAAAGCGATCCATGAAACTAGGAAAGTTTTTAAGTCAACTTTATCATGAATAGATGGTCTAAATTCAGCATAACATTAAGCAGTGTAACATTTTTGAATTACCTTAACCATTTTGTATGCTTTATCAATTTGGCCGTTCAAGCTACAATTTATTTGTCTGATTCTGCCAGTGTCACTGATATTTTTTAGCCTAATAAGGTACGACAATTCGTCTGATTTGGGTATCTAAATGATATATGATTGATTGTCGCCGCAAAGTATCTGATTGTAGAGATTATGCATTATCACCAAGGTCGAAATTCATAAGAAGATGTTTCCGTTCATAAAGATGTGGCTAGCTGATTGAATACATTTTATCTATCTGTCAACYTTAACATTGATGTCCGGGCACACAACATTGTCGGATCAAGAACGTTATAGAAAGGGGGGTTAGCTAATTTAAGAAAATTAGAATTCATTGATTTGGGGATAGGATTTAGAAAAATTAAATTTCTTTCAGGCGAACATTAACATTACTTTAGTTGTTTTTCAATCAATCCAGTCAGTTTTAATCTATCATTAGAACTCAACAGTGGCGGATCATCAACGTCAAAAAGAGGGGTTGGCTAATTCATTACGACTATTATATTGATAGATTTGGATTAGAAMAAATGAATTTCTTTCAGRAGATCGTTAACGCTCCTTTGTTTTGTTTTGTKTTGCTTTTTTTTCTTTGTAATATCTATAATAAATCCAGTCAGTTTTGCTGAATTTATTATTTTATTTAAGCAAAAATGACTGGTTGCGCCATGTGGTCAAATAAAGCACGCGGGAATGTTTGAAGAACACGACAAAGACCTATCCATCCTTTATTGCTTTTATGATATAGAAAGTTATATAGAGGGGAATGGTTGGAAAACCTTTTATTGTACTTCTTTYCCAGTACATCTTGTGTATATATTTTGAGGTTGAATCAGTCAAGACCGTGCATAATTTTTTTTCTTGATACGGACGATGGGAATTGCAAAACGAGTGACATTATGAAATGAAACATTTTACATGTAATATTGGTTAAATATTGTTTTTCTGCATCTTGAAGCAATAGTCAAAAAAAATGATTTTTGCTCTGTTCATTCAGATGTGACCAGTATTGTTCAAAMAATAGTCAAACAAAAGATTGTGCATTATATCACGCTTGAAAAAAAGTGCACAAAAACCTACAAAAAAGGCTCCCTAAACATTGTTATGCTCGCGACCGTGCATTTACCGACTAATAAATCACGCTCTTGRACCAATCAGAGCGTTCGTACTATAGCCAGCTCTATTTTATAAATGTTTGTATTGTAGTCCTTAATTTTCTATATTTTTATGTTTGTGAACACTAAAATGGGTAAAGGCTAGTCATCTTGATCCACCTTAATCTCTCTGGATTTCATTAAATGGAATTATCTATGGTTTCTAGAGATAACGAAGAACCTTAACAAAGATGTAGACCCATGCGAAGACTTTTACTCGTTTGCTTGTGGYGGTTGGCAGCGTGAACACCCCATYCCTGACACTGARTCGGAATGGAACCAAGTAGAAGAATTAAAGCAGAGRAATAGGAACACATTAAGAAGGCTATTGGACAGCAAACAAACACGTGACAAGTACTCAAAGGTATACTGTAATCACTCAAGAATGTGTTGTACCAAAATCATTTTAAACATTTTAAGGTTTAACTTCGTAGCCGGGAGCAAATTTGAGGAAGGGGTTAAGTGTAGTTTTGGGGAAAGGGTTGGGTATAGTTTTGAAGTGGCCGCGGCCCCACTTTTTGCTAAACAACTAAATATAAATTATATATAAAAAGACAAATAAAAAATTGAAAATTCATGCAGGCCTAAAAAAATGTTTTCGACAGTCGTTTTTCGCCAACCACTTAGGCTAGCCGAGAGTAAAGCGTAGAAAATCGCATTTTTGGGGTATAATGGCGCGGGTTTTGACACCAAATAAAGTCCCAAAACGATACTATAATTTCTCGATATGAAGTTCATTTAACGTCATGATATATATACTATTTAGATTTCAGCAGTTCAAAAGGTCTACGAATATTACGATGCTTGTACCAACGAAAAAGCCATTGAGAATGCAGGCATTAAACCACTGATAGANTAAGAAATACCGTAGAAATAATAGAAATACCATTTCACTGTCCCAGGATTAACGTGTTATCAAAAACGTCTTATTGTATTTGATGGATGTCAGTATAATTGCACTTTTGATGGTTGCGGCGATTTGTCTTGAACTGGTTATGGACTTTTAGTTCTAGTGGGGGCAAATTTTGGGAAGGGGTTAAGTGTAGTTTTTGGGAATGGGTTAGGTGTAGTTTTGAAGTGGCCGCGGCACCACTTTTTGCTAAACAACTAAATATAAACTATATATAAAAAGACAAATAAAAAAATTGAAAATTCATACAAGCCTAAAAAAATGCTTTTGACAGTTGTTTTTCGCCAACCACCTAGTCTAGCCGAGAGTAAAGCGTAGAAAATCGCATTTTTGGGGTATAATGGCGCGGGTTTTGACACCAAATAAAGTCCCAAAACGATACTATAATTTCTCGATATGAAGTTCATTTAACGTCATGATATATATACTATTTAGATTTCAGCAGTTCAAAAGGTCTACGAATATTACGATGCTTGTACCAAYGAAAAAGCCATTGAGAATGCAGGCATTAAACCACTGAYAGACACTATAGCAAAATATGGATCATGGAACATCACAAAAACTGGATTCAAGGGACCCTGGGAYTTCTACACGTATCTMACTAGCATTCACAGGGAGCTTGACATCGCACCACTGTTCAAGATTTCTGTCGATCCTGATATTAAAAATTCTTCCATTCATCGCATTATGGTATAGTACCCAATAGKCCTTTTGCATTAAGCAGTCACCCGGTATTAAATCAGTCACACTGGAAGGGAAAAATTCACTCCGGGATGTTCAAAAATAAGTCAAGCTTGATGTGGTGCATTCCATTTGCTTTTGAGGTTGTTTACATTCTTTTGCCATCCAGTATGGATTTAKTACCATGTGACCATTTCGTGAAAAAGACCTATAAACCTGAATTATCAAAGGACGTCATTGTTTTAAGGCCTATTTAGACGCACAACTTTTGCCTACAACAGTACCATGCAACATGCCTAAGTCATCCTTATTAGGACATAAAAGCTTAACTTGAACTGTCGTAGCGCTATTAAACAATTATATTTTGAAACTCGGCGAAAGCTGTAGACATGACATACTCGATTTACATTCTATGCCTGTAGGCAAACTTTCTGCAGCCCAAATCGGAATTTACATTGTGATATTTTTTCCACAAAAAACACAAACTTTTTTAACCTGCAGTATACTACATTTCTAGATAARGCAAACAAGTCACTTTGTCACACTCAAGGGATACTTATCAAATGAAACCCATTCACAAAAGGTAGGSTCCACAGACTGCTCATCTCTTACCACTGCATACAGACCCGATGGGTGAAAAACGCACTGCGCATGCTCGGAAAACGTACGGTAACTAGGGGCAACGTGAGATTTTTGCACATGCAGATRTTTTGTATCTTGCAAAAACATCGCAAAATTGAAGAATAATTGAAAAGTTATCACGATGGCATGTTCTATCAGTTTTATCTTCAACACCCAATTAAAACACAGTCTCAAGCCTGCAAAGAATCTCGGTATTTCCATGCATAATTKAAATTATTAAAAATATATTTGCCTATGTGGTTTGAATTCGATGACGGCAAACGCTACTGATACACTATTGTTAAACCCATCATACAAGTCTCGCCTTGAGGYATTATCCTTGAAGAATGYGCCACGTTTTATATTACAGGTTGCATCTGCGTACAAACAGTTAATGAAGGAAATAGCAAAATTGCTTGGAGCAAATATTGAGGAAAGTGCTTATGAACTTCAGGAAATATTTGATCTTGAAAAGTCTCTCTCAAAGGTATATAATTGTTAATATTCAAGACTTTTTTAGGAACTATCAAAAAATATCTATAAATTGCATTACATAATATGTGCCAAGGGTGGATCCAGCTGACATTTTAAGGGGGACTAAATGGTCTTAAGGGGGGGGGGGGATGTGCTTTATTTGTTATAATCAACATTGAAAATAATAGAAAGTTAACCTTTCATGCTCTTTGCCCCTCCCTGGATCCGCTCTTGGCATTTACATTACTGTAACTTTTACTTTACTTTCTAACTTCGTACTGTATACACAAACCCGCACAAAAACCATTTAGTCGACATAATATATATATGTCCGAATATTTTCCGTCTTCGGTGAAAGAGTAAAAAATCGATCTGTAGTACGTAAAGAGTTGGAATATAGATATGCCCTAGAATATATATAGTATGTTAACATAAATGAACAGGAAAGAAGACCTAGTTATTCACAAGAGTTGAGTGTGGGCTTGCAATGATAGACCCTTTTTTTTCTCAAGTACGAGAAATTGAGGAATAGTCAGAGAGTACTGGTATCTATTATATTGCAAGCTCACTTGCTGTCGCTTCGATGCCAAAGATGACACTTGGGAACTAAGAAAATAACCAGTCTACGACAATACAAGTATTATATTCTTGCAGATATCGCTCCCAAAAGAAGAAATGGGCAATGAAATTAAAATATATAATTTATTGACAATCAAAGAATTAACAAAGCGCACGAAAAATGAGGTAAGAAGTCAAAACGTTTTATTCTAAGATTGTTCTCTCTCTTGCTCTTGCTCTTGCTCTTGCTCTTGCTCTTGCTCTTGCTCTTGCAATATATTAATCATTGTATTAATAAATTTTGTGCTTTCAAGCTCGATTGGTTAAGGATCTTAAACGAGATCTTCAAAGATGTTGGAGTCTCTTTTAAAAACGACGATCAAGTAGTTGTACTTGGCATGGACTATATAGAAAATCTTGGACTTCTTCTTAGACAAACTCCTAAAAGGTACACTAGCATTTCAAATAAAAGTAAATCTTAGTTTGTTTTTTGTTTTTATCTAAATATAAATGTCAATTAATTCGCGGCAATGGGTAGAGCTTCTTAAAGACAAAATATAATGAGATTCATTTGGTATCATAAACCTGTGTTTGCAATTTCAATTTTAGTTTATTCAATTTTAGTTTATTCACACTTTTCTGATCATTATTTACATTCATGATTATTTTATTTTATTGGATATTTCTAATGTAATTTATAATACATCATTAATTTGAATAAGTGTACGGCAACCAAAGGAGCTAAAATGCTTTCGAGTTGGTTGCCGTAATTGTCAATTATGGGTCCAAAAAATAATATGTACTTATTGACTGAGTGGGAGGGCCGTACGGGAAAATATTTGGCTCGAGGTCAGTACTGGGTGATTGATTTGCGACCAGGCCTGCATATGAATTCGCCAAGGTTGTAAGCCAGTGAGCCCGTGCATTTTTGCTAAGCGGTCATATTTGAAAATGTAAATAAAGGAAAGGGAAAACCCGCAGCTCTCCTTTCAATCGTACAAGTCGTGTTAAATTCATTTACATAACTAAACAAAATGATTATAGAATTAAACCTTTAAGAATTGAATGCTCATATGAAACATTTTTAGTCGAACTTTTTCCACGATGGAATTTTGTTTTGAGTCGTTTCGACATAAACAGTCGCTATCAAGACATTACACGAAAAACCGCAGTCACCGTTCTAGCTCTCGTTGTAAGGTCAAAGCTAGTAAATGTGTAACCGACCTATTACATAACGTCAACTCGTTGTGTGGCGTCGATCATGCTTGCGGGTTATTGCCGAAAATTCGACAAAGGATGAACTAAGACAGTTGTTTGTATGAAACATAACAAACGCTTTAACTCTATTGGAAATACATGGAGCTAAGCTGCTCTAGCTCTTTCAGTGATGTTGTAGATACCTCAAAGCTTTGAGGAAACAAGAGCTAAGAAAAAGGATTTGCAATGGTTCTTCCATAAGATACTTTGGACTTGAACGTCGCTTCAACGACCTTCTGAAGTCTTCGTGAAGTCGGCCATTGTTTCGCATGCAATGGAGAACCCGCGTAGAACACAGACCAATTATTTTTAGCAGGGAGGGGAGTCCCTTGGTATTAAAGAAAAAATTCTTTGCTATTTCATTTTTAAGATAAAATTCGATTTCTATAACGATAAATATTTGATTGACATTAAATAAAAGCTATTTTATAAAGATTTTCAATTTGTCTTTGCGTTTTAGCTTTGATTTTTCGGATAGAATAAAATGGTAGGCAGCCTACTCCACTGGGTCGAGTTTTGTTGTGCAAATTCCTCCCGTCGGGGGGCTATGTTTACAACATAAGCTTGTCAGCTTTGCGCTGATTGGCTAGTCGCATTTTCTCAAATCACCCAG